GAAGCTCAGACTCTGGCACAGGATCGGGAACGTTGGAAGCACTGTCTGGCGCGTCTGCCTCCGCGACCCGTAAGGAGAAGCGGCGATGGAAGATGAAGATGAAGACGATAAATATAAATAGAATATTGGAAAACGTACAGGATTTCTTTATGCGGGAGATGGTATAATCTTTCGGTAAGTCATAAACGGGACGACAACGCATAAAATGTTCTTTAATTAGGGACATCTGACGTTTCGGACCAAGCTCGCTCCGTCTTCAGATTACAATTGTCTTCAGCAACAGCAGGGGTATGTGCCACGGTCGGTAAGTTAGCCATAAAGCATTTCAGTGTGTAAGCAAAAAGATGATGAAGCAAAGCGTGGGCGGATGATGTTTTAAACAGTTCTGTGATAATATGTGCAGACCATCCTGGGAGAAGCGGTGTGAAGTTTATCCTGACATAAAGAGAGTAGTGATGGTTATGCGGACAGCAGACAAAGTTCTCTAGATTTACGTTTGATCTAATGCTGAGTTCTCCACATCTCACGCAAGGGCAGTATCATTCGTCAGCGAAAGTCTGTACCCTTTGCCTGGTATAAGTTCAACTAAGCAGTATGATTTGTTCTAGCATGTTTAAAAAGTTACAAAGCCAAAATAAAATCAACATTTGTTAAATAATCATTCTATGTTAGGTTGCTATTTAATATTCATAGACTATATGATCCATTCAGCCGCTGATGATTGCTGTTACAGCTTCGTATCCTCAAAAGCATCGTGAGCCTAGTCGTTTGTCACACAGACTCGAAATCCACTACCAGTTGATTTGTTTCCTATCAAGATTTCAAGACTTGCCCCATTTACTGTTATCCCATCCTTACTTGAACGCCACACTAGTCAAAAAGCATAGGTAGGTTTTTGCATAGAGACAATAACCATCAGTGTGCCACATGCTCCACGAAAGGGGGGGTGCTACACGTAGTACCCATGGTGGAAGAGGAAGGCAGGCCGACAACCCATTGAAAGCAAACTTAATCGTACAGCTTTGTGTGACTACCGAGCGACGGAATTGATTGCGCCTAACAACACGTGACGAGGAGACTGCGAGAAGGTTTCTATCGTCTCCTTTATGAGAACGGTTTCGGTGAATAGTTTTTCTTCCTATCACCTATCCGGAGCATCTTTAGACGTTTAGACATTTCTCGGAAGCTGGTCATTCATCCTGTTCAGACTTCTGTTTGCAATTGTGGGAAATGATATTATGTTGAGTCCTTATGGCAATCGTTTTTCATCCTTTACTGATAACGTAGAAAACAGGATACGCGGAGTACACAGTTAAATATGCATACTTGAATATAGTCCACTATAAGATGAACATTATCTGAAAACTTGACCATAGACCCAAGTAATCGTACTTTTTGCACGTTTGCCATCAATAATTCGTACTGCAACACTGGATTCAATGAAAGTGCTTGGGTATGCGTTGGCAGAAATTATTTTTATTATGAATTTTTATTCTCTTGGAAAATGTTTTTAAAAAATATTAGGTCATAAATATGATAACCCTTATCTGTTGTTGTACGTCTGCATGTAAATGATGCTTTCCTCTGACAGGGTATGGCATGTAGGCGTACATGTACAGAGTAATTTGCTCATATAGAGTAATTCTGATCGTCACCGAACTCGAAACATCTGCAGCAAACGTTTGGAATGTGCATTAAACGAGCTACGCCTTGATCGTGACTGAAACGGAACTGCCAGCAACGCTGTAGGCTGAGCCCCGACCATTCTTGAAGTACATTGAAGTGACGGGCGCTGCGGCGACGGAAACGATGTCCTCCACCGTGTCGACTCTCCGGGGTCGTACGACGCAATTGGGTTGACAACTAAACGGACAAGCACTAGTGACAACGGGCTATTTGGCAGCGGACTGGCGGGGGAGCCTTTGGCGGCTGACTGCACCCCGCCACGGTCGAAAACCATAATTTCGAGGTCACACACAACAATCATAACGCGGGCGAACAGGCCGTAAATTGCTCATTTTTCGAACGGCATAAATTGGCAAAAAATTACAATTACACCTCGACTCATAAATGGACGGAATTTGCCTCGCGACGCGGTCGGCTCGCTGTTGTTCGCCTGAACGAACCCGTTTGTGAGACAATGCCAAGTGTCAACGACAGAAGACACACAACTGCCGTATTCCGATCGCATCGCTTCGCGAAGCGCTGCGACCAGTTTCGACCAGTTTTGCTTCGTCCACTGCCTCATGTTACCTCGTTCTTTGCCTCACTTTGCAACAGCT